ATTGTAAAGTTAACTATAACCGAATAAAAGGAGCCGGCCAAGAGGCCACCTTAACACCAAAAAAAAAAAAAAAAATTTTCCGATTAATACACTCTCTACTGTATATTTACTTATCTTCTTAGGAATAGTAACTTCTGGATTCTCATCATACCATATTTCAATAAGATAAATTCCATTAAGCTGACAAAGGCATCTTTTCTTCCGATCACGATCATCAACATCCTCAAGTTTTTTGACATCTTTATACCAGCTACAGTGCGGGAATCCTTAAAACAACATGTAGTTTATAATAGCGGCCAAATTTCAAAACCATGTTGTATAACCTTATACAAAATTAAGCAATATGATTGGATAATAAAGCATAAATTACTTTTTTAAAATTTTTTTTTTATAATTCTGGCCAGAATTATAATAACTTTGGCCAGGATTATGGTAATTTTAGCCAGAATTATAATAATTAATTTTGAAACTTTATAAAAGTATTAAAACTTAATAAATTAAAAAACAAAATTTATAACTTTATTCTTTAAGTCTTTCTCTACATTTTTATAAAAAGAAAAATTGTTCTATCTATACCAGTTATTTTTTATAACAATTTAAAATTATATATAGTTATTATTCGTCTAAGATTTGTTAGATGTATTCGGCCGCGATAGCGGCTGAATATCATCTAATAGATCTTTGACGAATAATGCAGTTATTGGTCTCTTACACGCCTAGTAACGGTATTATCCTTCTGTCTACGACGATCTGCATATGATAATTTTGTTATTGTGATCGGTAAATAAAAAATAACTAAAATTATCAATTGATGCAGATCATAGTAGACTGAAGAATAATATTTATTATCGTTATTAACCAATTTTGTAGATTATCCCGTGATATTGTTGGTTAACCGAAAATTTTAAAATTTAATTCAATGGTTTTTATTTTAATTCTACAGACTTGTAGGATTAAAATAAAAAAAATTTGGTTCAGTAGTTTTCGAGAAATTTTCATTTAAATTTTAAAAACCATAATGTTTAATTACATCACCATACAATTTACTTGATCTCTGTTTTTTATTGGCTAAATTATGAGATGCCCTCACGTGCTCGGAAAAATCCTATGATCTTCGTTAACGCTCCAATGGGGTATCAATATATCAATATATCTGACTAATCACAGAACACTCATCGTGCCAAGAAACAATGATTAAAAAAAAGAATCGAAATATTCGTACTAAAACAGAAAACGATGACGAAGAAGACAGTGAGTAAAATTTATTTAATTTTTAAAGTTAACATATACCAAATCTTATACTATATTTAAATATAGGCTTGCAGGTACCCGTTGTTAAAATAGCAAAGAAAAAAAACAAAAATAATAAATCCGTTCTGAGCTTTGGGAATGAAGAGGTGCATAATAATTCAATAAATTCAAGATGTTTTAAGCTGTGGTCAATTGATATTAATTTCCTTTCTATTTTATGCGCTTGTGTCTAATAATTAGGAAGAGGATGAAGCCTTTAAGGTGACCAAAAGTTCTGCAAGTCGTAGATTGGCACAATCTAAAACAAAGCAATTGTTTTTAAATCAGTTAAGTAAAACTAATTGATTATAATAGCAGAATGTTATGTTAATGCTGACATGACTATTTTATTTAGAGAATCAGTCCCTCTTAATCTTGATCAAGCGACAATATCATCCTCCCCTTCGTATACCAAAGAGCATTTATCGGAATTACGCGCCAATACACCTGTCATGCCGTTATCATTTCAAGTACAAGATAACGTTATTGCGGAAAAATTTCCATCCACTCTAGGATCTGGTATATATATATATTCGAATTTCGATTATATTTTCTTTAAATGATCGTTTATAACGTCCTAAATTTTATAAATTTAAAGGCCAAATTTCGGGAATACCTGATGCAAGTGCCATTCATGCCGCTAAAAAAAAGAGAGAAATGTTACGACAAAAAAGCGCTTTCCTAGATTATATTCCATTAGATGATAATACGGATGTGAGTGTTTTATATTATCTGATATTATCTGAATTTTTTAACCTTTAGATTTCTTACCTCTGATTTTTTCGAAAGGTTGATTCTATTTCGGAAAAAAAGATAGAATCGAGGCTTGTACGTGAGGATGATGAGATTGGAGACGCAGATGAAGGTTGGTTTTAATTTTTTTTTTTTTTCACTACAATTATTAAATTGGAAAGTTATCACCGTTTACAATTTTAATTTAATCTTAGAACTTGGACAATACGTTGAAGAAAAAGTACCTCTTGGTAAAAAGGCCGAAAAAGAGCATCAACGTCTCAAAAAAGCAGGAATAAAGGAAATGTTAATGGAAGTGTAAGTATTTAGTCTTTAATTTATTGAACCATATAATTTATGCTTAAATTTAAACTTGGTTGTTTCACTACAATTCATATTTAATTATTTCATAGTGATTTCGAAGATGAAGATGACGAGATAATGCAATGGGAAATGGAACAAATTAAAAAGGGAGGGCATTCCCTCAAAACTTCAACAAACCAACCTCAATCAAAGAAACCGGCTGTAAATATCTCAAGTAAGTATAAAGATAAATTCTTAAAAATCCTCCTTCTAGGGTAGTGTTCTGTAATTAATTTTAATTTTTGCATAGTTCCTACAGTCACATCTATTAAGTCAATATCTGAGGTTCAGACGATCCTTGAGCAGAAAATGAATGACCTACGGTACCTTCACAGTACTCACCAGTCTGAGCTTGTTCAAACTCAAAAGAACATTGACGGTCTTGTTAAATCAAGTGCACAAATTGAAAACGAGTTACAAACCACCAAGAAACGATATACGTATTTTCAAGAACTTAAAACGTTCGTTGAGAATCTAGTCGAATTTCTCGACGATAAGGTTGTTAAAGTTGGAATTACAGGTCTATTATTTTGTCGCTTTTGAAATTACTAATTAGGTTTGCGATTGGAATTGTTTGTGTTTTTATTTTTGATCAAATTAACTCAACGAATTTTTGCTTTGAATTTACAGTTTCCTACCCTTGAAAAATTAGAAAGTGATATTGATGCAATGCTTAAAGAAAGAACCGAGCGAATTATGAAAAGAATAATGGAAGATGACTCGGATGATTTAGTATTGTTTTCAAATGATTATCAAAGTGCGTTTTGATATTAATTTGTGCAAAAACTTATTTTGAAAAGTAAATTAACTAGTATTATTAATAAATTTTCATTTTTAAAGATAAATTTAACATTAATGAATATGTCGAGCAGCAACAAGAAATAGATGAACTCGGTCGC